AAAAACTTTTAGATATTTTCGCGTAGTAAATACTCTTCACACATTTCCCTATCAATCTAGGCAAGAACCAAGTTTTTCTAATGAATGAAGAATGAATTTGTCAAATTCATCCGCAGGAAGAAAAGACTGATGCAGAGAACGCGCAAGAAGATTAGCCGTATCTATGTCGTTTGTTAGAAGTTCATTATTAGCATTTTTTAATTCTTTTATTTCTCAATTTTCTTTCGAGTTAATACATTTTCGAATGCGTTTCCAGAAAGAAAGATCAATTGAATCTTGTGTGCTAGTGCAGAATTTTTCCAGCTAGTTTCTTTTATTGAAATCATCTCCTTGCGTATAATTTTATCCAGCTGTTTTACTTGAACCTTAAATTCCAATAAACCGGTTTTATAATAAAGTCGAAAAAACTTTCTTTTCTGATGGATCAAGTTGCGAATATTAGCTGGAATAGCTATTCGATATTTAGGTAGTTTTTTTAAGTAAGTAGCTTTATTATACGCTCTTGTATATTCATAAAAACTATTATTTCTATCTCATTCTCACGAAAAATCTACAATAAAAAACTAAAATGTCTGAATATTGTCGAAAATAAAATAGATCATAGTAGGCATCTAGCAAAAATGGAGATATCTCTTCGCGCACAAGCACGACGTATATCTTAATAGATATTCTCTTTTTCTCTTTCGCTATCTGAAGAAAGTAGAGTTTTCGAGTAGAGTTTAATTTGAACAAGAAACACAAAAACATAAATTTCAGTAGAAAGTGAAAAGCGGTGCTCTGTCAGTCTGTTACGTTTTCTCCGGTAAAGAAAAACTACTCAATACAAAATGAATAGTGCATCGGGTAGCCCTTGTAAAGCTGTCTTTAGTCCATGCCCCACAACAGAACTCGCTAGTAAGGAGAAAATTTTTTTATACTCACTCTTTCATAACAGACTGACACCAAAAAGTACCGTCTCTTTAATGATGGTGTAATGCGTTGAACAGATGAGAATGACTAATTCAAACGGCAAAATAAACCCTGGACATCGACCTTTCAGACCACATGAGAACAAATTTTAAAAGAAACACATGTAACTTTTTATGCAGTTCTTAACATTAAGAAGCAAAGCGTCAATAATCGACAGACTCGTCACCAGTTTTCTGTCCACCGACATTAAAGTTGCGTTATCTCAATGGGTATAATAACTGGGGCAGAAAGATAGGGAATTGTACAACATCTTGAGCATTCAGTTGTCCAAATGTGTGTGTTTCTTTGAAATTAATGCACTTTATTGCATATAATTATCATAGCAAGTCCAACATTTTGCTTCATAATCTAGATTCTAATTCCTACCTATTCAGGTGAGAAAAAATATATAAAAAGCATCTGCCAGGAATGGGGATCGAACCCATGCTCACTATTGTGAATTGGATCTTAAGTCCAACGCCTTAACCACTCGGCCATCCTGGCTCTGTCCTACCATCTGTATATTTTATGAACATCGTTAATTGTTGTTTTGTTCTTTCTCCAGTGCTATTGCTATTTGTTAGACTTGCGAAATAAGGCACGATTTTTAGCAATCGCTATTTTTTCGCGCTCATACACAAATCAATGACTCTCAAGTATTTTACTATAGTTAACATATAAAAACTAGGTGCAAAATATTCGCACTATTTTTACAGAAAACTAATGAACAGGTAACTCTTAGAATATTTAAAAACTGCTATTAGCAAACTTCTGTCGTTAGGCCATTTAATTTAGTATTTTTAAAAGATGGCGCCTAACGACAGAAGTTTGCTAATAGCAGTTTTTAAATATTCTAAGAGTTACCTGTTCATTAGCTTCTGTAAAACACTGCGAATATTTTGCACCTAGTTTTCATATGTATTTATTCACGTTTTCCGTCTAATATCGCTAAATGAACCACGTACTTTTACCGTGAACGCAGACGAACAGCGTACGTGCGATGCGACTGCGCAAGACTATATTAGTTATGTCGTAAGCTATTATTAAGATATGATAAGATTTTGAAAATTTTTCGAAAAATCAGTAAGAGTTATATACCAGGCGCGTAAGCAAAACAAAACGAAGAATAGGATTTACACGGGAGATGTGCCGCGACGTTGTATCGTGTCGCGATTGTAAAAGAAAAATGCGATCGTAACGTGATAATTTTTTCTTGCAGTAATCGCGCTCGGATACCGACGTCACACCATGCTCGCTAAAGAGTCACTAATGTCGCGCGAATTACAAATTTTCAAAAAGTCAAACTTCATCACGATCGCGCCGCGCCAGCCAACTACTTCTTAGCGATTGTGGTACGAATTGCACTACTTTAACACGATCATGGAGCGACAATCGCGTTCGCGACGTGAATGAAGCAGAAAAGTGAACTTGGGGTGTATTTGATTTAAACTTCGAATAGAAATAGTTTTCTTTTCATTTGTTTATGAATATTTGCGTTTATTTTTGGTGTACTACATCAAATTATTTACTACATTGGTTAGATTTCATTTATTTATTTAGTTTTATTCTGATCAAGCCGTTGAAGAACACATAATAGGTTATTTAACAATTACAAGTTCCCAAAGCGGCATCGATAAATTGACTTAAGAAAACATGACCCAGGCCAGTGTTCGGGCTGATGTGATGTTTTAGTGACATAGAAGAAGTTAAAATGCGGTACGTCTCTTAATTTAAAACATGCAGATAAACTGGTTTCACTTGGGGTCTAGCGATCTGATGATTGAGTTATGCTTCATGTGTGTTCTTAAGTTTTCATTATTCTGTTTCTATACCGTTTTCAGATAGGATTTATCAGGTATCCTACATGTTGCAGTTATTAGAGGAAGAATGTTTTTTATCAGAGACTTCAAGATCCATTGACAAGCAGCATTCAATGTATAATTAAACAGTTTTTTCCGCTGTTTCAATCTCAAGTTCTGTCATAAGGAAAGTTTAATATCTTTTTGTTCTACGCGATAATCGATAACATTTCTCTTTTTCTTTGTTTAACTTGGTTATTTTTATTCTTTTCTTTTCTCCAGTAGGTTTATCTCACCTAAAAGTGTTTGATTAAGAAAATATTTTTGACGTTATTACCCAACACTTGAATATGGTGTTGAAATAGACTTTTAGAATTTATTTCATGGTATTATATAATAGATGTTATTTTAGCCGAATTCGTGAAACTTAATGAATTAGTCAATGTTTATTTGTATATCACTTAACAGTTTGATCCTTATTTCCGCCGTGTTTTTTTCTCTCTGGTACGTGCGTTTTCATTACAAACGATATTTTATATTGTCTGATTTATTTTCAGTAATGTCATTTACTTTTTCGAATAACAGCTCAAAGAAAAGCTTTAGCCAACAGGATTAGTTAGATCCAACTTTGAACGTATAAAAGAGTTTAATACGTATTTTATGATACATTCGTAAGACATATTATAATACATTAAATACCTTTTTTCATTGCTAGTAACAGTTTCTTTTATGTCTGGTTATAGTTTTTTTAATTCATTATCATTGAGTGAATTCAGAGCAATCACACCAACACTTATACTTTAATGGTAGCAACAGTATGCCAAAAGGATTATTAAAAAGATCTGATAGTGATGTACAGCAAACAAATGGAAGAAAAAAACATATTAAGATCGAAGAAGAATACAGTAAGAAAAATTTTAGTTATCGCGTTTTACTTGAGTAATGCGAGGATAAACTGGCTATAACTTTCTTTCTAAAAAGGGCTAGAGACTTGCGGTTTTCACCATTCGATTCAGCTTGCTGAGCTCGATAATATGAGATAGCTCTCGTCACTGACGTCAAAGGTCGGTGCAAATGGTGGCTGGTTTTATATGGACTGAGTCTATCCGTCGATGCCGAAAATTCGCAAACAATTTAATATCTCGCGTTCCTCTTGGAAGCCTAAAGTTTTTCTTTTGCCGTTTTATCACTCCGCTCTTCTAGTATCTACCCTATCAGGCTGAGCCTTACTGAGCTGGTTACGCACAAGGTAATGAATGGTGAAGTAGTAGCGATAGCGCCGTCTATAACTTGATAATAAAACGACCTCTAGAGTTCGGACTTGCACTGTTTTCCAGCCTGATCCAAGTTGTATTTGTGCTGAAATTTTCGTGTCTCTAAGTCAAGCCATTAGAAAATAACACACTCAAGATTGAACGCTAATTGGTCCTAATTCACCACCGGAAAAATGGCAACTTTTCTTAAAACTTGAATATCTCAATAACTAATTGGGTTGTTGAGCTGCGATTTGCGGCAAAAAACTTGCTATTGATTGTACTTTTGACCTATGTAATGGAAATCAAGTTTGGAGACAGTCGATTGAGCACGGTTGGTCATGGCTTATCTGCAATGGCTCTTACGATCAAGAGGTCAGTAAAACGGCTATAACTCAAAAAGTAAAGATCTTTGACCAGGCGGATTGAAATACCGGATTCAAGACATTTTCGTTACAAAATAGCAATAGTTTGTGAGCTTGTTCGGATGTGTTGCATTAGAAACATTTTATTAAAGGAGTTCATTTTTTTATGATAAATGTTTCTTCATGATGCAACTAGATAACACTGACATTTGCACTGTTTGACATTGAGTGAAACTTGATACATCTGGATAAGTCGATCTTTTTTACTCTTTTATCTAGATGTTCTTGCTGGACGATCAGACGATGCTCCAGCAAGAGCATCTCGATTTTTGCGCTAGGCAATTTTTGCTTGAGCTGTGTTTTTAAACGATGATATGAAAGTGTGTACGAGATTCTTGATCTTAACGGATCGGGTTCGTCTTAGAAGTGACGGAACGCTTTGACTGTCGTAAGCAGGAAATCGTCGCTTTTTTTGCACAAGAAGAAGCGTTGTTGGAAAGTCTTTTAACAACATCGTCATACAAGAAGAGTTCGAAACCGACCGCGTCGGATCAGTAGGAAACATGTGTGCAGCTTTATTTCTATCTTAGAATATTTAATTTGATATGACGTTATTCTCTCTTTGTCCAGACACAATGACGACTATCAGTGCCAACATAACAACTTGGAATGATTTAGCAGTTGAGTTTTACTTGGATCTATTTGAATATTTTGATTTACAAGAAATACTAATGACATTCTGGAATATCAGTCAACGAATGAATAATATTATCACAAATTCACATTTACATTTATCATTGGATCTATCTCTGATGACAGAGGACAAAGAATTTAAACAGATCTGTTCAATAATAGAAAACAATATCTGTCCGTCACAATTAATTTCAATACAATCCCCTTATGCATATCATCATTTCAAAACAAAATTCAATTTTCATAAATTTAATTGTCTAAGATCATTAACAATATGGGAAGTTGATTCGAATGAAATAGACTTTATTTTGTCACAATTATCCAAATTGGAATATTTATCAGTCCTTATTTATTCTTGTAATACTGAAAATACAGAATTTAGTCATTTTTTTGTAAGAGTATTACAAATGTTTACATTGCGAAAATTACGATTATTAACAACCTATTCAGATGATCCATTGAATTTAACACTGCCATTAACAACAAGAATACAATCGTCAAATATTGAATATTTAACAATTGAAACAAGATTTGATCTTCAGTTATTGAAATTGTTTCCAAAATTACGCTATTTGAACATATCGATGGATGCATCTTCGATTGATGACGCTAATGTTGAGATAATAACACTATTCGACTTAACAACATTAATATTGCATTTGTTGTATGATGGAACATTTAATGATCTTCGATTAAAACTATTGAAATTAGCACCAAATATCAGAACCTTAAATATAAACGGAAAAGTATGCGAATATAATGAGTCTCATTTTATCGATAGTGATCAGTGGATTCAATTCTTATCCTCATTTAAAAAATTGAAACAAGTTAAATTAGAAATTTGTATCAAAATTGACTATGATTCATCAAGTCATCCATCTAAAATATCCAGGAGAAACGACTTTTTTCCTGTAATCTCTCTTTTGTTTGATTCCCGTAATCACTTCAGAGGAGAAAATCTCATTTGCTGATAGAAATATGCAACTTTGTATGCTCTTTCCAGCTAGTAGTATGAGAACGCTTGATAGTACTAGATAAGGTTAGATTTCGTTGTTCCCAAGCAAAAAAATGCCTTTGAGAATATCTAGATACGAAAATACGTTATCGGGCAATATCGGCTTGTGATAGCTAGCTATCCGTACCACTTTTATTGAGTTAGCTAGCTATATCGGGAAAGATAGCTAGCGACTAGATATCGTACCCGATATATCGGGTTGACGAAAAACACTGATCAGAGTAGCTATTTAGTCGATTATTGCCCGATACATTGTGTGTATGATGCCACTGCATCACTAGCTATGAAAGTAGATATATTGACCAATTATTGCCCGGTATATTGTATGGATAGTGCCCAATCTAATTAGGCACTAGATATTGAACTAGGTATATTGATCGATTATTGCACGATATATTGACTTATGTATTGACAGCATGAAGGATGCTATCTACATTGCATCCCGGGATGTCTGTATACAGACATCCTGCTTCCTGTAATATATTACAGAAAGCAATATTCCGCAATATATTGGTCGATTATTGCTCAATATATTGACTTGATATGAATAAATACTCTGTAAATTTGTGAAGTATATGTTTTACATATATAGTACAGTGGCTGCTAAACAAAAAGGTGAGTAATCCGACCGTCGATATATCGAGTAACATATTGGGCTAGCTAGCTATATCTAGTAATGTATCGTGTTAGCTAGCTATATCGCCCGATAGTAAATAACCTAATTCGAATTGCGAGCTAGCTATATTGGGTAGTATATTGAGTTAGCTAGCTAGATCGCCCAATAGCCGATATTTTTTTTCTGCTTGGGAAGCTGTTTTCTGACCACGCCCCAGCTAACTAGAACGAAAAAAGCCAATAAAAAAACTTTTTCCAAAAAGTGATTGGATATCCATGGATTAACCCATCAGCTTCTGCTCTAAAAGGTTTTGTATGAAATAATAAGTTAAAATGATTTAGAGTTTTTGATCTTTGTTGCTCCTTAAAAATTTTCAAAGAAAGATTTTTAAAAACTCTGGCTCAAACAAGATATTACCATAAGTTGTATCTATAACTGTAAATTGATACGAGCTCTCTATAGTTTTACTTGAGACCTTCAAATTTAATTGATAGATGTTATTAAATGATTTGAATATTCATCAATTATCATCAATTATGAGTGATATATCGGAGAGTGATTTTGATAAATTAACTGATGCAGTAGTTAATCATTCTTCTATTCGGTCATTAGATTTACATAAAGTAAATATTATAATTTATTTGGTTAATTTACAAAAAAAGTTTTCACGCTCAACATCAATAAACTCTCTATTTGATAGTAAAATATCTGAAATTCAATTAATTCAGCCGCATATCACAATTGTTCCATTCTTTAATCAACAGCAATTTAAAATATATCGATCGATTACGATTTTACGATTTGATTTTATTTGACAACAAAAAGATAGCTAAGAAAACAATAATAGAATGTTGCAGGGATAACAGAAAAGCGCGAGGAGCCCTTATGGTTACTGTTACCCCCCAAAAAAAAGAAAAAGAAGTAGATGTAAATTTATATTTCCAAGAAATCCTTTAGCTTTTGCTTAAATGACCTAATTGATGCTGCAGTCACAACTTCGTTAGGTAACCCATTCCACTCTATTGCCGTGCGATGAAAGAAGGAGTACATTGTCGTGTACGTCCGTAGATTGTCATTAACATGTACAACTTGAGAATG